ATTCCAATTGAGTCAAATGTGACGTTGTGTACTGAAGAGCTGCCCTGCATAATGTATATTTATTATGCTGTGAATAGTTCCAAAACTACAAACCATTATTTTACCAACAAGGCATCGTTGGTACTTTAGTTTGTCAATGTACAAAGGAGAATAATCTATATTAACTTCCTTTTTTAAAATACACGACACAGTGTGCACATAATTCTCCTCTAAACCTCACTTACTGTCACTTTACATTTATTTTCACACCGAGGTTCTTCCTCTTTAAAACAGACATAACGGTGTCGGTCAATCGCTCAATCCTTGGCGCCGACTGGGTTGAAAACCTACAAACCACAGAAGAAAACAGAGCTTTTTCATGGTAACACAACAGCGTGGTGCTGTGGAAGCTCCACGCAGAATACACAATATCACGACTGCTCATCTTGTATAATACACAACACTACAAACCAAATTTTTTTTATTTTTATTTTTAAAATGAACTTCCAATGATGTCTCCTAGCAATCTGTCCCCCTGTTATTAGACATTAAAACGGACAAGGTGGCTGCTGCCGATTCAAACTTTCAGGTTCAAAGGTCCAGTGTGTAAGATTTAGGTGAAAGGGATTTTTGGCAGAAATTGGATAAATAAAATAATCCTAGAGATGTTTTCACTGCTGTGTTTCATCTAAATTGAATAAATTGTTGTTTTATTTACCATAGAATGATCCTTTATATTTATATACTCTATATTTACATTGAGGAGGTCCTCTCTGTGGAGGCCGCCATGTTTTTTACTGTCGTCCAAACTGGACAAATTAAAACCTTTTGAGTTTTCATGACAACTGAAGTTCACCACAGGTTCTCTGTCATGTTGGGAAGGGGAGGGTGAAATGAGGAGTACTCAGCTGTAACATGAAACTTCACCTCTAGAAGTCACTAAATTCTACATACTGAACCTTTAAGCATGATTGGCTCATAAAACAGGAGCACGCTGACAACTCTTGTGTAAGATCTTAACATTTAATAAGTTTACATGTGTATTCCCGACATGTTACACATCAACAAGTTAAACGGGAATGTTGTTAGACAGAAATTAATTCAAATAAAATTTGAAAACAGTTTCTACCACATGATAACAGGTGCTTATGGTCAACCAGGAGGATTGTACGAGTTAACTGTTATAATCTAATGTTATTATGTTTAACATAAATAGGCTTTTTCTTTCTCAGGCACCCCAGCTCCTCTTATTAACCAGCTACCACTGGTGCGGGACACATGGCTGTGAAGTGTCATCACTGTGAAGTGTCATCACTGGTAAGTATCGTTATAAAGTTTCTGTGCTTAAGTGGAGCTTGAAGCTTAACAAGCAGCTTTCTTAAGTGAGCAGATTGCTAAGAAAATGAATCATCATTCAGAGGAATTTGTGAAGGAGCCTTGTTATTGCTGTAGAGCAAAGTAAATTGTTCCAAAAGTGGCAGCTTGTCTCCGAGACCCTCTGCAGAGTATGTCATCAATATAAAACGAACAAACACTGAAGGACACATTGATCTAAGATATTCAAGTAAACAATGTAAACCATTATTCTGTTATAAATGTTCACAGAGGTAAATGAAATCAATCAATCCTTTTTTCCTTTTTTCTTCTTATTGGATGAGTCATCTGCACATCCTGTAAGTAGATTTATTAAGTAATGTTTAGTCTATTGGAGTGACTGAAGAAATGCTCCTTTTTGAATTGTGCTCCTTTGCTGCCATATACTGGCATACTGTCTAGCTATAACATGCAGTCAAGCTATAACATGCAGTGTGTTGGATGTGAATATCGCTATATGTCATTTTATATAATACAATAAACATATATCTGCATCAGGGTCAATTTCAGAATCATTTCATGTCATTAGTGAGTCCTCCTCAAACAGTTCTACAATATACTGTTATACTATACAATGTCACTTTTAATGGTTTGTGTGCAGAGCTTTTTATGAACAGTCTATGGTGCAGAGTGAAGTAAGAGAACTTTGTTCATTCTACCTGGTTTATCTACACTCAATGATTTTCATAAAGTGAAACTGAATTTGCTTTGTTGCTGTTCACTTGTGTGGTTTATACAGAAGTTTGAGTGAATAGCTCAACTGGTGTCATGTTTGCACACATTGTCAGGTCTGTTAAGCGATGGTCAGAATTCAAACACAACACAAAATTCAAAACTTTTCAAAATAAAAGGTCTGTAATGCAGCTCGATATATAGAATTGCAGCTTCAAAACAGTGTGCTTTTACTGTGAAGACATATTGGAAGTGAATCAGCATCTGTTTAATCATTATCAAAATGGTGGTATCTTAAATGGTGGCAATTTTGGCAGTTTGAGCCAACCAAGTCAAACAATGTTTCAGTTTATATGAAGACATCAGAAGACATGTTCAACTAGGTCTACAGACTGAAGGCACACTGTCCGACTGCTACAGAGCTCTGGTCTTCTGTTTATATATGTTTTGTCTTTATAATGAGCGTAACACATGTCCACGTTACACTAAATTTGAGACTGCACTCCCTGGACCACTAAAAATACACATGCCATGTGTAAAACTGATAGGATAGATATGGGTTTAGCAGAAAGACAGACAGTCAGGCAGAAATATAAACAGACATTTGTTGATATCCCCTACACCGTCTGTTTTGTGCTCTGTATTTTTGCATTTACTGAACTACGTTACCCCAGTGCTAGCTTTGTTAGCCTCTGTAGCTTGCAGATGAGTTAATGTAACACATAATTTTAGCATGATAATATAGTTAGCTCATGGTGGGCTGGTTTCCAAGGCAT